GGGAAAGAGAAAGCACAGAACAGACCAGATTCCGTATTACTACCATAGTACACTTACCAACTTATATTGGACTTTCCAATTTCAAAGGAACCATGACGAAATACTGTAACACAACATAAGGAAATGTTCTTTCTAGGAAAGGGTTTGCCCTTTCTGCCCATTTTAAATTGTTCACATTAAGACGTCATGAATTACACCATAAAAAACCCCAAATGGTCTCACACTTTTTTAGACTGTAGATGAAAAATAATCAGTAAAGCTTTTTTTTTTTTTTCTGAATGTAATAGTAAAGCTCCCTCTGCTGGAAATTTCAGTGCAAGAAAGCAACATCTCAGGATCTTTATAAAGTAAAACAAGAAGTAAGAATTTTCTGTAACATTTAGACTTTCTGCATAAAAATCAAGAAACTACTCCTGAAAGACAGGAGCTTTCTCTGACCAAACCAAAGTCTCATCTTTATTTTAGTACATGGCTTTCTTATTTAGTAAATGGCTTATTCCAAAGTACTGCATTTGTCTTAATATTTTTTTGGAAACTGGCAGATCTTGTAATTTTCAAACTATATGGTTTTATCTGATTAACATAATTGTTTTGAGTGAAGTTGGAGTTTTTTTCAGATTATCTTTAATCCTAGCCTGAAACATGCAATGCTAAATCTCTAAAAGCGTTTGTGTTTAGAGGGAGATGTTCTCAAATTATAACTTTAAAAGTACAGGAAATTATGTTCTTTTCCCAATTTCCAGTGACAATGAGGAGAACAGGCCAATCCAAAACCAGGTCAGAGTGCCTTCATAAGAAGAATGATTTTTTCCACTTCCCCTATAGACCAGAGGCACCTAAATTTTGCTCTTTCTCAAATTTGTTTATTAATCAATTATCAAGGCATGGGAAGACAAAAACCTTGCACCTTTCTGACATGATTCACAGCTCTGGTGCAGAAGTGAGGCCAAACCTCAGTAATAATCTCATTTAGCAGAAATGAGGTATTTCCTCCAATTTGCCTTCATCAATAAATGGAAAGAGAAGTTGCTGGCAAATAATACCATGGACTTAGTGATAAAGTGACAGAGGTGAATTTCATCATTCTGAGCTTGAATTTGCAAATGAATTTGCTGATGGCACGAATCCGAAGGCGGATACAGCCCCACTGTCACCTTCTCACTGCCCTCAGTCCCTGTAAGGATATGGTCGGATAACACAAATTAAACGTACTGCCAGCAAAAGGGCAGCTCTCGCTCCCCCATTCTCTGCCTTCAGTCCCCACTTGCAGTGTCTCTGCTGTCCACCTGGCTATGCGGGGAGGTAGCTCAGCTCAGTAAGACAGGTTTTGGGGGTGGTTCACTGATAAAGTTTCCTGTGGAATGGTCAAGGCAGCACCAGAGTGGTACAAGGGGAGAGGAAAGACACACGGCCACAGCAGCACAAGGGACACAGTACTGCCTCCAACACATCAGGGAACCACGAGGAAGGCTCTGCCACATTAACAGCACCCAGAAGAAACTGAACAGAAATCCTGCCTTGGCTTCGAGGAAGGAACTGCTGCTTCCACAGCAGCAGCCCACAATAAGGGGACCCTTGAAGGATGAAGAGAAACGGTTTCAGAGCCTGCACAGAAGCCAATGGCTCCACTGTTCCAAGTGACCTCCAGCACTTGAGCCCTCGAACTGCTTCCTCTTTACTTCCTACGTTTTCTTTTTCGATAAACAGGTGTATTTCACCATAACCATCTGTCTTCCACCTTTGCAGGCATCTTCTGGAGTATGTAACAGCTCTTTAGTCTCCAGGACAGTTGTCCTGGCAAAAATCTATCATAGAATCATAGAAAGGTTTAGGTTGGAAAGGACCTGGAAGACCATCGAGTCCCACCCCGCCTGCCATGGGCAGGGACACCTCCCACTAGACCAGGTTGCCCAAGGCCACGTCCAGCCTGGCCTTAAAGACCTCCAGGGATGGGGCATCCACAACTTCTCTGGGCAACCTCTTCCAGTGTCTTACCACCCTCAAAGTGAAAATCTTCTTCCTAATGTTTAATCTCATCCTGCCCTCTTCCAGTTTAAAGCCATTCCCCCTCGCCTGTCACTACGTGCCGTGGTAAAAAATCCTTCCCCAGCTCTCCTGTAGGCCCCCTTTAGGTACTGGAAGGCTGCCATTAGATCTCCCCAGAGCCTTCTCTTCTCCAGGCTGAACAGCCCCAGCTCTCAGCCTCTCCTCATAGGAGAGGTGCTCCAGCCCTCGGATCATCAAATCAATATAGCTTTCAGATTTAACACATGCTATTTGCTGAAAGAACTGAGTGAGCTCCAAGAGTGTTTTTAAGATTCATGCATTCCTTTCTATGTATTTAAGGCTATAGACAAAGTTAAAAATCCACGAAAGAAAACCAGAAATAGGCAGGTATGCTTATATCTTTCCGCATAGATTCATTTCCCTTGAACTTTATTATTTATTAATTAGTATTAATATTACTACTACTACTATTATGTCAATGGGCTATTCACTCGTATTATAGCTTTATTTTTAAACAGTTTGTGCTGAAAAATGTTACTGTAAAAAGAAGCTGTTGACACAATACTCAGTTTTACCAGAGCTAGGAATTGAATTTGGGGATTTCACCATAAATAGTATGCAGACTTAAGAATGGTTTGAAAAATCCAGATAATTGTGGTTTGAACATTCAGTTCTGTCACGAAAAGGCAGAGCTTTTTCAGCCTTTTCATTCACTGTCAAAAGAGTTTCTCGACTTTCTTTTTAAAAGACCTTGAGACAGAAGATGAAAAATCCAACATTTTATATACTAACACATTAACATGCTGCATTGTTATGCCAAATGATCTCCAGAAGTCAGAAGTAACAGGCAGAAGTAACAATAAGACTTGTAAAGAAGATTGTTTCCAATACCATATTCAACATTTCTAAAACCTTGTATCTTTAAAAAGTGTTTTCCTAATCATTGTTCCCAATAGTTTAATTTTTGTTCTCTGAGGAAAAAAATTGAGTTTCCCATTTTGGAGTTTCAGAGAAAAAAAAAAAAAAATTATTTTAATATATACTTTCTATCATTTACTCTTGATACCTGCTGGAAAGATTCCAAACAGTAGTTTGATTTAATAACCCAGATAAGAGTGGTTCTTACCATACAAAATTGCCAATAGAATAGATAAGACAGTCATAAAAAAGAAATCAAATGAAGTGCTTTGGAATAGACTAATTATGTATGAGAGTCAGGAAGAAACTAGCCTCGTACTCGGTAAGATAACTGGATTATGCTTTCTTTTAATTTGATAAACCCTAAGTAGAACTGATGGCAAGAAATGAGCCAACATGTGCAACAGTTTCTCCACATGACATTTTCTCCTATCCTATTCCTATGTTAAATGAGATAGATGAAAAAGGGGAATGTACAACAGTCAGGCACTCACTTATTTTTTAAGACTGAAATGACACACCCTGAAAAACTGGAAAGACCCTGAAAAGATGAAAACCGCATCAGTACATATTGTGTTACTAAAGCCAAACAGCACCCATTTTCACGGAAGACAATACATGAAATTCAGAATTTCTTCAAAATTGTACTACGTTCTTAATTTAGGAAAACGAAAATAGAAGAGGTATAAATGTTTCGGCTCCTCTTTAAAGATATATCTCTCACCAGAATTCTTGATTTGTGGTCATGCCACTTCATCTCAAGATGCAATACACACTTCAGTACTGATTTCAAGTTAAATTTCTGGTGCAAAGCCTATAATGCAGGTATGCTACACTCACTTTTAAAATGACTACAGTGTCCATATCTAGCTCTCTTCCCAAATTTTTCCCCAAGTATTTTTCCCAAATTTTGTTTTCAGTCAGAAAAATTTCTGTATGTCAACACTCCTGACGAAGTATCTTTCACTTGAGACAGTATTTCCATTATCCTCTACTCTTTTGTTCAAAGTGTCCTAGGCAGAAGTTTATGCCTGTAGCCTATTTAATAGTAGCTGAATTACATTAAAACACACATATCTGACCTTTCACTCATCACAACAGCTACTACTCTTTAAGAAAATGTATTTTGTTGGAGGATATTGTTTTTCTCTTCTCTTGACTCAACTAGATCTTCTGGCACTCAGCATTTATCACCAACTGCCAGCTAAGTCAGCACTGAATTTCTTATTTGCTTTCTACTACAAAATCTATTCCGTAGGCAAGTAAATCTTACATACTAAGACAATGACTTACTATGGTATCTTCTTCATTGTATTTGTTTTTTGGCATTTATATTTTGCCTCTTTGTTCTAGCTCTTGTACAGATTTCACTATAATGCTGATGTCATCCAGGTCTACATCATCCTACTAAATCTCTGTAACAGTCGTTTGTTATAACAAAATTTTATCACATTAAATACTATTAAAACAAAGTATCTATTGGTTGGCTTCAGATTTATGGTTAAAAAAATAATCAATAATGATAATCAAATTCTTTCTGCAGAACTTCACTTTATAACCCATAAAATAATGCTACGATTTATACATTTGCTGCCCCCAAATTTATGGGAATTTTTTCATAATAATGATAATCTGATTTCATGTAAAGAAATTTATTTTGTGACACAGAATACTGCCAGGGTAAGACTGTATATTGGTGGAAGACAAGAGACAAAGGCATTGAAATGCAGACAAATGTTTCCGTTATTTCCTGGATTGGCTACTGTTATTTCCTCTTCATAGTTTTCCCAAAGGAGTTTTAACTTATCCAGAATCTTGCAGCTTGACTCATCATTACACATAACCTTTGCCAGCACATCATTTCCACCTTTACTTTCTCCAGTGGCTTGCAGTACAATACCATATCATACTACTTACAATTTCAGTCAGATTTTCAATTTACATTTTAAAAATTTTGGTTACATAATCTTGAAGGCACTCCATCAGATTGACAAGCATTTTCAAAATACAGATTTAAGGACTGATATTTATACATCCTACTTGTTTTTACAGTCTTTGCATTTTGGTAGGAGATTAATTACAGGCATATTATACAGCTGTGGAATTCATTACAAGTCAAAGCTGATATTTTTTAAATCATCTGTGGGCAAAGTCAAACTCATCTTTCCTAATTCTATAGTACTACAGTTCAGGATAGAACTTGAGGAAATAAACAGCTAGCAATGCTTTGCACATATCTCTTTGAAAAGCTGATTCACCATTGGGACACAACTATTTAATAGTACAGTAATATACACCGTATTTCATCTTCCAAGTACCGTACATATAAACCTAGGAACTTATACATAACAGTTGTATTTGCTGATTTTTATAATTTGTTCAATATGTTGCATGTCTATATCTGTACTAGTTTTACACGGATGTTAAAGATTCTGCTTAAAGTCACAGGCAAATTCTATATCACAAAAGAGATATTTAATCCATTTAGGCATGCAGTAGATTGTGTATCTCCATCACCATTAACAGACAGGTACTTGAAAAGTGACTTCCTAAGTACCTTCCTAAATATTCCGGGCCATTTAAATTTACTACAGAATGGAAGCTTTCCTCTAAAATTTTCCCCACACACACACCAATACCACTTTCAAGTTCCTCAGAGGAAAGAAACATTGATCATCTGTGTTGCGCTAGGAGGCAGTGCCTTGTTACAATCCAATCCCGGTAAGGAAGGCACTCAGACTCTGTAAAGTATCTCTTAAAATGCTATTTATTGGAGCTAACACTATAAAGAAAAAGCAGATAGTATCAATAATCTTACATCCCTTTAGATGCTGGAAATCCTGAGCTGTGTGGAATTGAACAGGCGTCCAGCCAGGCACAGCACCCTACACAGATCTCATCCATGGAAGATTACCCCATTTTGGTGATCTGAGCTCTTACAGGATTTTCTTACAAGCAAAACAACTCTATTCATCACTTATTCTGTCAAATAAAAAGGACGTTCACATGGGAACTTGCTGCTGAAGTTTTAGATAAAGGCAAGGATGCGCAGTTGGTGTAACCACTGGTAGCATGCAGGAGCTGCCTACAAGCTCCTTTGTCACAATTAGCTGACGAAGTTTATCCTCCAGCAAAGGGATATACACAGCACAGCACAGGCCTGAACTTAGGTTACCTGTTACGTGGATTTCTACCTCCTTGATGTACAATGGTCTTCCAGTTAGGATTGCTACAGCATCTTATGCTGCAGTGGGATGTAAATTCTTTAAAGCAAATTGAGTTTACTGATTAAGTTACAGGGCTGTAAAAAAATCCAGTTAAATTGCATACCTGTCAGCACCACCGTGTGTTCTCCACCACAAGCAACCTTATTCACTTTTTCCATAATTCCCAGTACAGGCTGTGGGACTCTATTGTTCTTCAGCTGTTCAGGCAATAATCCCAGTTTCCCATTCTCAGGTTCTCCAAAAGTATAGAGCTCACCATCTCCTGTGTAAATACAGAACAGAACAGGATTTCCAGCATGAACTCAGAAGCAAGGCTGGGTTGTCAAGACTGCTACAGACACAAATCAATAAGATAGAAAAGTGTATGAAAAGTATGGGATAATGCAACTTATTTGTACAATGTCCAAACAGCTGTGCAAAGCAGTCTGCTGTGATGGGACAAGACAGGGCTAAATTTTAGCCCCTCTCCAAGATGAGACCTGCAAAATTTGGCGTGCAAGGAATCTAGCCAAGGGAAAATCAAAACCATATACATCCTTCTGAGAGGTAATAATTCCCTCTGTTATCAGTATTTATGTCAACTGAAGTTGCTTGTAAGAATCTCAGCTTAAACAGAAAAGTTTTACATGGAATTCTGATGGAAAATCCACACTTTCTTTTTGTAAGATATAGAGAAAAAAAAGAAAAAAGCAGAGTAAATGACATGAAAATGTGTGGTCTGGACAGCAAGAAGAGAGCAATATATCCAACAAGAGGAATACAGCAGAGGTTCCATAGCAGTAACTCCACCAGCATTAAGTTCAAAAAAATACTGAGAGGTCTTCACAGATCTCTTTCTGTAACTTCTTTCTGATCTGCTACATAATCATATGAGAAAACCCTTCTCATTCACCCCAACTTTTTAAAAATACGGTTCAAAAACTCTTCAATCCCAAATTTGGGCAATTCATTTTACTCTGAAGTTTTGCTTGTTTAACTTTTCCAATCACTCCCTTTGCTTTTTCATTGCTATGTAAATCTGAATTACTATTCAAGACAGCATTCTATATATCCTTCTACCATAGTTAAAAATGGAACCTGTACAATATACTTCCCATTGTTATATTTACAATTTATCTACATTTATCTACTTCTTTTACATTTATCTCCATTTTACATTTATCTACATCGTGGGGTTTTTTTTACAATTTACCCACATCTACATTTCTGATTTTCCGTGCAAAGGCCGCCAGCTATTCTAACAGGTCAGAGTGAGGTTTAGGGAGAAACCATTGTCTTACTGCCAGCAAAGCTTCAAGTTAATAGCTGAGTGTTCTCCACTCCTGAAAATATTCTGTGGAGTAGTATCCTCATAGCAAATTGTGGCTCACAATCTGAATTTGAAATTACTTACAAAAAAAATCATCATAAACTATTACATTACAAAAAGTTTGGCTTTTAATCCCAGTTGGATATAAAAAAGCACAAGGATAAACAAAACTCTCACATGGAGCTAGTCCAAGATAAAGAAATGTCTAAACTAGTGTAGGAGCTGTCTGCTAAAGGAAATTCGAAGAGAGTGCTGCAGTTACATAATGAACATAATAACAAACCCCAGACTTATACTCCATTATTAAAGCTCAGTCATCAGAAGCACCCATCTCCAATATTTCTGGAAACATGCAGATTTGTACTTCAGTACAAAATGTACTTTTACTTTCAGAGGGAGACATTTAGTGTTTTCAGAGGGCTACGTCCAGTATTCACAAATTTACTTTTACAGCATTTAGAGATATCACTATTGCACGATGCACAAGTATCTGAGAGATTCTTATTCAAAAGTGATGAATTCCTTTCCAACATGAAAGTTGGGTTAACCTTAGAAATGCTGGTCCTTCCCCACAGACAATGAAGACAGATTAGCTCAGAGAAAGCTTCAAAGCTGAAACCTTATTTTGGTGTTCAGGATTGACCATTAGAGAAGCCCATTCCTCTCTCCATTGAACATAAGCAGAGAAGCTTATTACTAGTTTTCTTGCCTTTGTAAATATTCCCCCATTTGCACAGCTGATACATTTGTTGCTTTTTCCTTGCACTTTGTCAGCCACTACTTAAAATTTGGGAATTTAATGACAATGGCAATAAAAAAAATAAGCCTATACAGAAATAGGAAACACGGAAGAGCTAAAAGTGATCCTATAAATAAAAATGTAAAGTGGAAAAAATGAAGCTGCATATGCATTCTAAAAAGCAAATGAAATTAGTCAAATTATTAAAATCAAGTTAGGAAATAATGAAAGATATAATTCAAAACTGAAATTTATTAAAACTTGGGCATACCACGCCAAGACAGGAAAGGAATTTTATCTTTTTGAATTTTTAATTCTGATGATGACAGAGTCAAAACTGATGTCATTAAGAAATGTGTCATTTTTATTGAATCTCCCTGAGCTTTACTCTGGCAATAAACTCATTTAAAATTTCCTTTTGCATGAATAAAAACTGAGCGAGAATTTAAGGTTGCAAAATTGCATCTTCATTTTGTGTAATTATGGGACAACTAGTTAGTAATACATTTTCATTTAAGACATCTGCTAAATCCAATAGATAAACTAGATTAAAAATGTTTTTCCTGGAAAACTCTTTTGACAGCAATATCTTTTTTTTTTTTTTCTTTGTGGCACTTGGCTCCGGATTACTTTGTGCTAAAGAGCGACTGCAGCAGTGCGTGCATAGAACAGAGCAGCACAGACCGCTGTTGCCACAACCCTCCATCAGAAGAGCTTTGATTCATTCTGAAAACCCTTAAAGTACTATGTCTTTTAATAAAGCAGTCCTCCTCCTCGTATACTCTTAGAGGAAGCGATGCTGGAGCAGTCGTGCTTATCTGTGATGTATGTTGTTACCTTTGGTATCAACAGTCCACAATAAGCAAAAATAAAACCAGTCTAAATTATTATCTATTTTTTTTCAATGGAAGCCTGAGGATAGGTTTTCAATGAATTTTAACTATAGGAAGAATCTGAAGGAAAAGGACTTGGGTGTGCTGGCTGATGAGAAGCTCAACATGAGCTGGCAATGTGCACTCACAGCCCAGAAGGCCAACTGTATCCTGGGCTGCAGCAAAAGAAGCGTGGCCAGCAGGTCAAAGGAGGTGATTCTCCCCCTCTACTCCGCTCTAGTGAGACCCCACCTGGAGTACTGCATCCAGCTCCGGAGTTGTCAGTACAAGAAGGACATGGACCTGTTGGAGCGGGTCCAGAGGGGGACCATGAAGATGATAAGAGGGCTGGAGCACCTCTCCTATGAGGACAGGCCGAGAGTTGGGGTTGTTCAGCCTGGCTGGTTGTTCAGCTGGGCGTTTCACAAGGGCATGTAGTGATAGGATGAGTGGGAATGGCTTCAAACTGGGAGAGGGCAGGTTTAGATAAGATATTAGGAAGAAATGTTTCACTTTGAGGGTGGTGAGACACTGAAACAGGTTGCTCAGGGAAGCTGTGGAGGCCCCATCCCTGGAAGTGTTCAAGGCCAGGATGGATGGGGCTATGAGCAACCTGGTCTAGTGGAAGGGGTCCCTGCCCATGAATGGTCTTTAAGGTCCCTTCCAACCTAAACCATTCTATGATTCTAAGCATGTCTCTTATTTTATGGAAAAGTTCATTCAGGAACAAAGAAAAAGATACTATACATTTTTTAAGATACATCAGCTTCAAATTTATTTAAATGCATAAATTTGTCAAATAACTTGACAATTCTGAAGAAAATGTATGACATACTCAAAGAGCAAAAAATGTAAAGAGGACTCTTTTTCATAAAAGCCTAATTCCTCCTTTAAATGGAAAGTGGGCCCTGAGCCTCAAGATAAAGTTGCAAACCAGCACTTCCACCAAAGATTTAGAAACTAACTTTGACGGCACAATATTTATTTGCAAAGCTCACAAGACCTAAGAAACTTAGCCTATGCCTTAGACAAAAAAAGCCCCAGACAATTTTATATGGTTTCTGTATTTTCCAAGATCATTTCTGCCTCTCACAACAGCAGAGATTCTTCAAGTACCATGCTCCTGGGCCACTAAGGCTAGCAACTGGACTTATTATCTTTGCTGAATGCTCTAACTGCACAGAGGGGCAATCAGGGAATGACAATAATACAGTCTTACTCAATGTCCAGCTTCCTGCAGGGTTTCACGGGGCTCAGGCTATTAAGAGTAGCCACCCACAATCTATTCACAGAGTTACACCCTCTTCAGCAAGACAATGAAACATGATAGCAGCTGTATTTCCCAACTATCATAATCACAGGTGTAACCCCATCCTCCCAGCTGTCCTCATTTTTTCTATCATTCTGACACTTTTCTTTCATGCACATACAAACTACACCAATAATACTCTAACACTTCATTTACCCACATGTATCTGTGCAGAAATACCTTTGCTGCACTCTTCTACACTTCTTTTCTAAGTGGTGTTTTGCAGTCATTTCAATCTGTCTGTGTTTTTTAAGAAATAGCAAATCCTCACAGCTGCAGAAAAGTGTATTTCATTTCACTTCTAAACTATGGACTGTGTTTAGGCTTCTCTGTTCAGTTTGATTTTCTGTTTCAATTCTGATATTTATCCTTACACCTACGTGCAGAAATACTCTGAACAGGCTGATACTTTGCAGTTATTTGCAGCAGCATCAATTTTCTATTCTAAAACAGTACCCCAATTAACAACAAAAAAATTCACTGTGATGTAAAACTTTATATAATGAAAACATTCCACTGACAAAAAGAGATTTTATTAGGGATTCTAATTGAAAAGAAAGAAAAAAACCCCAACAACAAAAAGAACCCTGTATTTTTTTGGAAGGCAAGTATTGTTTTAATACTCTTAGATTTGATATATATTTCTAGAAACAAGCTGATAAATCCCCCCAAACACTTGGGAGTTAACTACTTATGTGGTTCTCTTTGAAGAGACCAGCACTTCTTTTAAAACAGTACTGCACTGCAAATATTAATCCAATCACAACGTAATTAATAGGATTAGAGATTCAAATGGCCAAGCTTCCACTGACTTCCCAAACTAATCAAGTTTATTACATTTTTTTCAACTTAATAATCCAGCTAACAATGATAAAACCATTTATTAAAGCAATTTTTGAATGCATTACACATCCCTTTAAGGCAAATAGTAGTCTAAAAACTATGAAGAATAGCTATCAAGCATAAAAAGAATCCAGTCAAACCCAGATAAATTTTGAGTACAGTATACACACAGTACATCTGCATTTTAAGGACTTTATGTACTGTGTTCAGTACATCTGCATTTTAAGGACATTCTGTTCACAATGGAACCTGTCTTTTTAATTTTCTCCTCTCCTATGAGTCACATTCTCACATGTTGAACTTTCACTAGTGTGGCACGTTTTCTGTATCACAAAGCTTTAGGTCACAGGTGCATGGGAATGAAGTGGGCAGGCAAATGGAAAACTATCTTTGGCCCTCAAAGGTAAAGGCAGATACTGTAGATGTGCAAAGATAAGAGACCTGGCTGGTAGCAAATGAGGGTAGTAGACAAAAGAATTGGATCACTCTATGATCTCTTCAGTAAATGAAGAAGAAAAAAAAAAAAAAAAGTATTTATTCAAGACCAAATTGGTTGAAACCACCTCAAAAATGCTGAAGTTCTGAGCATGGAAGTGTTTGTGGAATGGATGATCTTTAAAACTAGTCCTTAAAAATAATGACAAAGTACATTAAAAGAAGGAATTCAACGAACCCACAAAGCTCTCCATGAAAAGATATCTTCCCAGTGAGAATCTATCTTGACCTTAGTTACAGTAACAGTTCAGGCAGGGGAAACACCGGAATAGGTCTAATATATTCAATTCCTTTCTGGCTCCATGAATGTAATTCTGCTGTAGATACCAGAGTAGTGGCTAGATAAATTAGCTTTTCCTGCTCATCTCCTGCAGTGGACAAATGAGCTATAAATGTTTGCCAAGCTTTATGCTTTCTGAAAAACTGTCCCCTCTTGAGTGGGTGTGGTCAAAGACTAATCAAGTAAAGATCTGTATATGGACTCAAAATCATTGCTATGCTCCTGGAGCTCACTCTTTTTCTGTCGCTTTGTTTGAGACTTACCTCTAATATGGGGACCTAACATATCAAGTCTGCAAAAAGAAAGGAAAGGAAACAGATACTGGGAAAAAGTCCTAAAGCCCTAAGGAGGGCTGGAAACGACAAACTAAAAACTTCTTTTCAGTGGAACACTGTGAAGAATGCAAAGTGAGAGGAAAAGGGAGCAAACAATCATCTTTCAAACATGAAGCAAGAAACCAGACAAGTTTCCTAATATGCGGATGGAAATGAGCTATCCATTGCTAGTGCTTGCGCCTAGACTAAATTTGAGAAGTGTTTTTTATTTAAAATAATTCAGGATATATTTTGTTCTTCAATTCTACAATCACTTTTGGCATCAGTGGGGCCCATGTGTACATGGTAGAATACAGGTGGCTGACATGTTTAGTAGTTGAATTATTGTCTACAACGAAGGCATTCTAAAAACCAAAAGTAAGAAAGGTAACAAATCTTCTTTTTGGAACTACTAGAGTTGAGAAACTTCGGGAGTTGGGGGAGGGTTGCAGAACTGAAGTAAAAATTCAGATGACTGAACGCCATACAGTTTCCATAAAACATGCTTTTATCTACTAAAGTTTGTGTGAGGATTCCACTCTACTTTTCACTGACAATCGCACTTGGCTTTATAGTAGTTAAACACCTTAAAGACAAATTCCTATAAAACCATCTATTTCAAAGAAATAACTTTAGATTTAAAAAAAAAAAAAAAAAAAAGCGGGAGTCTGCTTTTCACCACTTTTTCTCTCAATAGTCACTTATTAATGAACATCCTGCCCTGGAGAGGGCACTCTGTGACCACATTATGTATCCTTGTATCATCATTAACCATCTTTTAGTTTTAACCCAGATAGGCCTGTGATCCTAACAGTTTGCTTACCCAGTATACAGCTTATGTCAAATGTAAATATATTAAGAAAGGGAACCATATGGTGCCATGCTCATCAGTTCAGCCCAGCAACATCCATCAAAAGTCCTACATCCTGCAACTATGCTTTATTATTAAAGACAGTATATAATTTGATGCTTTTTTATGTACAAGTCGTTTAAAAAGTCAAAATGTAGCAATTCTATAGTATAGTTATATAAGTATATATAGTTATGTAAGTATAGTACAGTTAAGTTACAGATATTGAAAGCTTTGTATTAACAGTGTTTCTCCCATTTCTTCCATTGTAACAGCAACCACAGTCCAAAAAAGTTCCTCTGGTATACTTTATTGATGTTGAGGGAATTAATACAGATTATACACTCACCTGAATAGTTCATATTTCAGTTCTGGAAATACAGAACCACTTTGTTTTCCAGATATTTCCTCCAAAAGTATATATTGAAAATAACAATAATCACTCTAAATTCCAGTATACAAGATAAAACCATACACTAAAAATACACAGAAAACTCCCTGTGCTAGGTGAATTTTTACACATACTTCAAGGCATAATTCAATGACCAAATGGCGATTTGGGGGAAAAATAAAACCTATCCCTGTAATAGGAATATTCCACATACTCCATAATTATCTATTTTGCTATGTTCTACCAGCCCTCAGAGGCAGAATAATGAGAATGTCAACCACTGTTCTGAGCCAGTCCAACAAGCCCTACAGGCAAGTGTTTTCCACAAGTGAAAGAAGAATCCACATAATTCTAAAAGAATCACCTTTTTTTAAGCAAAATCTTTTAACAGCATCATGCCTTGACTTCCTTCCTAACTAGGCTGTAAGAAAAATAAGGTAACTACATTTGTACTCAGACTCAGCTTGCAGAACTTCCAAATTCATAATTTAATGGCTAACTTCATAGCTAACATAATGTATGACTACAGTACACTTAGATTAAATGTATAAACTTTGTTTTTAAACACTGGCTGGATATACACTGACACTAGTGCAACAGAAGATCAATTCAGTAAAAAAGAACCTGGATGCCCAACACTAAATTTCTACGGTAGTTAAAAGTATCACTCAAATAAAACTATCAGCAAGGGCCCAAAGGAAAATAGTAAAAAACATTTCTCCTTTCACCACAAAAGAGGCCATCCGCATGTCCACAGTTTCAGCAAAACAGATTGAAGCCAAATTTGTGCAGGATTTGCAGATACTAAGGCTGAAAATTAAGATTTTCCATCTCATACCCAGGCCTGTTTTAGCAGTGACAGGTTCAATGACTTCCCATTTTCACAAGTGATAACATATTAGTAGGGAGATGAACTAGTTAAGAGGCTCCATTTCTCTCACCCAGCTGATAGCCTAATCCTTTTTTCTCATACTCCTCCATTAAAAGTTTCCACTTCCTTAGAGCACTTGGCACACACTGTTCTCTCTTTGCTCTTAGATGCTTGTCCTCAACCCTTCTAATGAGAGCTTTTGTTACATCCCACTGCAATCTTGTCAGAGCTTCAGCTCTTGGCTTTAAGGCAGAAATACACACCTTACTATAACCTTGAAGTAAGGATGTTTTTGGGTTTTTTTTTCCCCCATTTATTTCGAGTTCTGGAAGCTGTAGATTTCCTAACAGGTGCTGAGGTCCTGATCAGTCATGGGCATTTCATTCATTTACTGTAATAAAACATCTATAATAGAAGTTGCACACTACCAGTATAACACCTAATTAGTATTTGTCTAGCATAGGAAGCTCTCATTCTGTTAATAGCATATTCTCAGAGAGCTATATAGATATTGTATGTGGAAAAGTAACATTTATCAAGTAACCTGAGAAAAATATCTGATGGAATAGTTCCTGGGTACCCATTAAAAGCTTTACAATCAAAACTATTGATCCTTTGAAATCTTTAATTACTCTGAGGGGACTAAACTGCAAAGCTTAATAAAGTAAATCTATATGGCTGAGAGGAGTTCATGGTTGCTCATATATAATACCACCAGAAATGACTGATAAATTCACCCATATTGGCATTATTAAAAAATTAGTGGCACCATCACTTTGGAAACCAGCAGGCAGGTGGGAAGAGAGAGGTGGAAAGCAACAGAGAAGTGGGTTGGTTTGGAGATCAGACACCAACTCACTGTTGCATATGCTTTTTCTAATAACATATACTGCCTGTTTAACTGACTTCAAAACTTAAAATTTAATACATAACATCAAACTTTGACAACAATCTTGCACTGCTAGTAAATGAGATTAATTTTTCCTCAAAACATAGTAAGTCTATTCAATATTTATATTTCTAGAGAAGATGAAGATGATTATTTGATCATCACAAAAAAGTTAATAATCTCAAGAAAAATTGGATTATTGAAACCATGATATTAATCCAGAACATTTATCATAACCATCATGAAAATAAAGTGTCGCAAGATAGTCATTCTTTCTAATATACTTTTGCATAACAATGTGCAAAAGCAGAAAATTAACTGCATTTTTTTCTCACAGTATTGTTAATTCAACAATAATATACAATTATATAGTAGATTACATACAAGTTTCCCAACTAAATCAATTAGGACCACATTTTAGAGAACCAGTCTCTGGTAAAATCTCCCAATGTGCTACAAAACTACATAGATGACTTTCTGCCACATGGCAGTTTTTAACTTTTGTTTTTAACAACTATGGCATATCTAGTTTCAAAGGTAATGAATGCCTCATTAGCTACCTTTACAAAGATGACTATTTGAGAACGACTGACTCTTCTCGACTAATTGCTATTCCCATTTTCTTACCTGTTATCAAGGCAGAGTGGTAATATCCACAGGATACAGAAGAAACAGGTTTTCCAACATCCACTTGACAAGGGACAGTGACACAGGCTTTATCAGCCAGGCCAATCTGACCTTCTGAATTGTCACCCCACACAAAAAGCTGCCCATCCTCTAAAATGAAGACACAGACAGTTAACAGATTTAAACCCAAAACTAATAAAAAGTTCATCTACCCATTTAAGAGCATTTCACAAACTCTGTGTATGACACTACTCAATGTCACTATCGCAGGGACATAAATAATAAAGTGGTATTTAGCACAATGCAACAACGCAGTCTGAGGTAAGAGGGTATCCCTTAAGCTTTTCAAAAGTGACAATGAACACTTAGTCATCAACTGATATTAGACAACAAATAGCAACAGGAAAAGTACTTCATAAAAACATTCCTTCAAAAAGAGAAAGACTGGGCATATAAGACAACGCAGTTGCCAGAGGTCTGTATGAAAATATTATGGTGAATTTAAGGCATCTTCTCATTTCTAGTAGCAAGTCACTTATTCTTCCAAATTTATTCTCTGTTCTGACTTTGGTACACACCCCACTTATTCTTGCCTCATCTTTCAGTACTCTTCACAAGTGATTACGTTGCCCAGCTTCATTTTGTTTTCCTTAAACTACCACAATAGCTGTTACAGGTTTATTAAGACCACCCTCTGTTGACACAATGACCAATGGCAGCAATAAAAAACAGAAAAAAAAGGTAGCAAACAACATGAAAAATCACTAGACTTCTCTAGAAGAGATGAGGTCTTCTCTCTGCATATTTCTTATTGTTGGGAAATAAGTTGTGAATAAAAAAATGTACCGTCTACAGTGCTACTGGGATGTTGTTGGGAACTAAAATAATTCAAAGTTGACTTACAGATCTCAGGAGAATGTCAGCCATCGTCACAAAAAACCCACAACCCAGACGACCAAGCTAGCATCTCTCTCATACACTCTTAGGCTCTGTCACATTCTGAAATGACAGCCTCAATAACGTATCCTAAACATGTACAAAACCAGCTGCAAAACTTATAGGGTAATAAAGGACCACCCATTCAATGGCTGAAAGTATTATAACTGTGTGGACTTCAACATGTCGTAATTGTATAATTTGCCATCGAAGAAATAGGTCATAGGTTCAGCCTCTCTCAGAATTGACACAGCTGTATAGCCTGTGCCAGTAGACCCAAAAGAGTTGCACTAAGAAGCGGAATTAGAGAAACTTAGTTTTCATAAGATTAATGTTTTGTAGCTGGCTTCTCTGGAAACAAACTGAAGATTATTCCCATTTTGAGAGTATTCATACTGTCTCTCCTTTGTAAGGATTCCTACTAAACTAGTACAGGCTGAGAACTCATTGCAGGCCATTGCTCATGGAAAAGGTCCACTTTCATAAATATTGTAGGAAGGTAATGACACTGCCACCCCTTATAACATTGTGTTGAAATAGGCAATTGGCTATCAAAAAATGACTACTGTTACTAGGGAAAGAAGACAGGGTGGCATAGAAAATACACCCACATACGCAGACAGAACGCTGGAATAAATGTTTCCCTGGAACTCTAGGCTGGATGCACATAAAGAGATTTTATTAGTGGTTGCTCTTACCAGTTACTGCTGCTGAGGTGTATGATCCAGCTGCTAGCTGTTTGATCTTGTGCTGGTTGGTAAAAAAATTAATTAAATGAAACGTGGTCCTTTCCTCTGTGTCACCTAATCCCAACTGACCTTCACTGTTACCTCCAGCAGCATACACATTTCCTTTTTCTGCATACAGAAAAGCACATGTAACACACATAATAAAGACATTCTCATCAATATTAAAATGTTAGAGAAACTGACGCAAGTAATCTAATTTTCAATGGAAAAACATTAAAGTTGGGGTCTACTGCCCTGAAATATCCTCGAGTTGACATTAACACTTTCTGTTGATCCTAGCAACAAGGCTTTCCTGCACATGCTTGGATCAGAACTTTCTAAAAGTCTTACATATACTAGACTTACTGCGTTTCCCACCATTCTGGAGACTGATCTAAAAAGTAAACGTAATTTGAAGTTCTGCAAGAGTTCTGAGAAAATGACTACGAGTAACCCTGGCAGCCAGAAGAAGCTCCTTCCCCAAATAATATATATTTTAAGATAAAGCAGGAGGAAAATGGTGAATGATGTCACAGGCAAGAAAACTGAAATTGTATCAGTACATAAATTAGAGATGCATAACTTGATAGTTTTGAGTACTGCGAATGAAATATGTTTTTGCTCAGGTTTTTATTAGAAATAGTCTACTCATTTTAATAGTTAAATCACTTGATTTAATTAACTAGGTCTTTATTTTGTTTAAGAATCTCAAAGATGAAGTTAAAAGTGATGACTGACATCTTCAACTTAAGAGAACTTTAAGACTTATATTTTTAATTTTAGTACGTTTTACATCTGAAGTGCTCATTTATGACGAAAAAGATAAGTCCTATTAATAACACAAATCCAGACACAAATGTGATAAGCAACTGACATACAAATTATAAATGGTCCTTGCTATATAGAAGACCACAAATTATCTAGCCAGCGCGTACACTAAAAGTGACTAATATTTACACTGTGCAGTCTTGCATACTCAACTGTTATTAAAACGTTCTGTTTTATTCTAATAGCCTTATTTACAGTGCTCAGGTTCTCCACAGATATAAACCTCATAATAATCAAACAATCCTCTTTATATCATTACTGCAACCTAAAGGATTGCTACCACAAAGACGGCTACTCCATTACATAAATTTTAGAAGCATGACAAGAATTTGCATCAATTCTCTGTATACTGTCTTTCTAAAAATTTATTTTTTAGTTTAAATTTACAGTTTATTTATTTATAACTTAATAAACCTACTTGTCACTGAAATAGCAGACTACCTTGTCGAACCAAAACGCAACAAAATTTGAAGACTTGAAAACATTCAGTTCTACTATATTTACTCAAATATATAACTTCACACTAATAAAGATAAATTACTTGTCAAAGGTAAATTTGAGTACGGATATATAAAAACTACTAATATACCTTTACAGGGCTTAAATGAAATATTGATAATGGTTAACTATACCTCAAATGCCAGCAAGAAAATATTTCATCTGTCTATTGCTAGCAAACTCCTAGATAACATTATTTTATAAATGCATTGGCTCAGAGCAAATCAAGCATTGAAAGTACTGGATATCAAACTCACAAGTTTTAAGAGTCCCATTTTCATTTATTTTTCCTTCCTCAATACTCCTGGGCTTCCTAATGTAATTTTGCATGAAAGCAAAGGAAGAAATCTATCTTTAATATGTATATAATATAGGTTACATACCTGTGTAAACTAAAGTGTGGTTTCTTCCACAAACAGCAAGTTTTGTTTTTTCTGGTTTTAAAGCTATGAATTAAAGCCAAAAGGGGGGGGAAAAGTTATAAACAAGCTGATAGCTGGTTCAACAACAAAATGTTCTATGCTCTAGAGGGAGCTCTGGGTTTTTTTTCATATTTTTACCAATAGAATGATTACAAGATTTGTTGCCCATTTGAACCTTGTACATGACTTATTGAATCAGGATTCCCCCAAGACAAGAAAACAGATATAGACCTTAAAAATTTACAGCTGACACTCAGGTTAACTTGATCATGGCTATTTCATCCCAAAGCCACATTCACCAGCGTTTACCATTTACGGGATATGCCACAAAGAATGCATCACGTTGCAAGACAAAATGCAGGCTTAAAGCTACCTTCAATTTTCATTAACAGCACTATTCTTAACTCCCTCTTACACTTTTCCCACTATCTTTAACCCTTAAAATCATACTGTTCTGTTGTCTTGTCATCTCTATCTTCCTTTGTTATGCACAGCTACCTTTTTTGCTAGACTTTTGCTCTGCAGTGCCCTCTTATCGATCATTAAACTCAACTGCCAAGGACAGTCCTATCTGGACTAGTGCCTACAATTTTTGCATATACAATCCTGTCTCAATTTCAGCTCAATTACTGCCCACCCATTGCACGTACTTCTCTGCAGCCTGGTCACAGTGAAAGACTGGGAATGTAGGCGAGAGGAATCAAGAGTTGGGGAGAAAGAGAGAATACAGAGGCGCTTTTTCTCCCGTGGCAAGTGCACGCCATTTCAGAAACAGGAAAAAAACCTCACTGCCTTTTCCATTCTCTCTCCCATTATTAATCATTGCCAAAAATTTATCTTCTCTCAGCCATGTCCATGGGCCCTATACAACACCCTTAAAACAGCATTATTTTTACATAATAGATCTTTGATTGCTTTTCCACTGTACTAGTCCGTGACAAAGCCAACAACCATCATCCCTTTCACAAACCTTTTTACAGTCCTTCCAAATCAACTTTCATTAGCTCCAGAACATTCAGATTAAAGCCCCTTCTACCAAGTCACCGAATAAATCTATCTACTTAAGCATGAACTGTTTCTGGTCTATCACACAAACATAAATTGTCCAAATTCAGGTTCCTGCCTATCCTATCTGACACCTACCACCAGGCTGGAACCATAACACTTTCAATGCTGGCTTCTTCCTATAATCTTAATTTGCTGCTTTATATCCCAAAACTCTGCTTCCAACTTCAGAGACAATCTTAATCAGCTCTTCAGAAGCCTGTGCTCTCTAACCTTCCTCCTACTCAGGCTAATCAATCGTATTTGACGAGCCGTGCTATATTTACAACATTGCTGGCAATTTTTCACAACCAATTTCATTAGTCTCTAGTCAAGTCCCAGAAGACATTTTTTCAGAAAACATGCAGCCACAACCATTTGGCCCCAAGCAGAAACTGAAATGTGTCCTTGCAAGCCCACTCCCAAAGCCAAGTGACGACTGAAAGCTAGCGAGAGAAGCTCCAGGACTTTCTTCTGCTGCCTGCTGCCAAGAAAAGAAAGATACCCCCCTTGTGACTCTTTTCAATGGATGCCAGGTCTGGTTTGAATTGCTGTGATCTCCTCTTCATCTTTTATTCTCCATTGCAATTTGACAGTAAAAACAAAACTTGACACCCACTCCATTTAAGCCAAGGTAAGAACCAATCTCTCACATGGCTGACAGAAGATGTGAACCTGAGAGTAGCTGCATTCTCCCTCTGAAGTGAAATAGAGAGAGGAGCGGATAAAGGACAGTAGAATAAACTAAATCAGGAAGAAAGGAGTTTGAACAAGCAGGATAACTTGTTTTTAACAATAAGCTAACAGATCGATCTGCTGGCAGAAAGGATGAGGATAAACATTTAATGGTGAAAAGAAATGTGTTAATAGGATAGATCTGACTTGACATAAGTAAGGGGATAGGGACAAATATTGACTTAGTTTTGTTTGACAAGATAAAACTGGTTAGGAAAGCTCAAGAAGATAACAGTGCAATTAAAACATATTTTACAACACATAAAAGAATACGGGTATTTATTTTACTGCTTCATACAAATATATTAACATTGATGCCCCTCGGGCACTTCTTATTCTTGCTAAAAACGTAGCAGCACATGTAGAAAGTTCTCCCATAGATTTTTTCATTTATAAAGGTACTAAGACAGAAGCGATACAAAGGTTACACAGTGCTGTTGCAACTCTGATTTCTAACGCATAGACAACACTACAGAGACCAGGGATCTGTTTAATGTCCTTGCAGTCACAATGAAGTTATGGTTTGTCAAAAAGGCAAATATTACATAAAATGAGAGCCCTCAAAGAGACAGGATTCTCTGTATCTGAAGTAATCTTCAGACAGAAAAGGACCCAGAATCTGGAACTGATGGAAAATCAAGCAGGGATCCTTTTAAGCTACCTTTATGAGCTTGTGCAGCAATATGGTACATATGATGAGTAAAGAAGGCAGAACCAGTTGGTTTGGAACTGCATCTTATAAAGTACCTTTTCACAAGGGTCTCCTTTCAAAAAGACAAAAAAAGAAAAATTAAACAAACCTTTAACACATGTTGGTTTGCTGACAGTGTTCTTTGATCCTAGTCCTAATTGGCCCCAGTTGTTACTGCCGAACATATATAGTTTACCATTCCCTGAAAAAAAAAAAGCACAGTCAGAATCCATACAAGTATTTGCATACCTCATACAAGACAAGATGGTCATTCACACGGTGTGCTATTTATTACTTCCTTTTTTAATGCGAGGTTCAATACTTAAGTGTAAACAATAACTAATGTCCTTGCGATTTTTCAGTACAACAGTAGTAACTTAATTGTTTAAGTAAGAAATCCCCAGCCAGAAGAAGGGACAAAAAGCAGAACAAACATCCTCTTCTTTAATCACAGCACTGATAAGGTGCTCTTCAGAAAATAAAATGTACTCTTGGACAGACACTGCAGTGCACAAACCACAGTATCACAGGCCTACTTAAAAAATAACAGCACATTTAACTGAGCACCTACATCTTTTACCCTAAAGACAGGAATAATAGTGCAGCTATATAATTAATACAAACACAAATTTGTAACATTCAGCTTATTTTATTGTTAAGGGGCTATTTCTTTTACTGCTAAATGTCTTCTCTTAAAATGATTTACAAATTTGTGCTTCTACAGAACATAGTTTCTGATAAATTTTCAAATGTGTTCACAAATTGCATTAATTTGTTACTCTGCCTGTAAAGAAGGAATGCATAAACCCCCCATGCAGTCAGGGAGTTTTGTAAACCTAAATGCAAATGTTAGATTACAAATATTCAACAGGAACAATGCCAGAATCATATTTCATAAACTGGTATGACATGTCATTGAACTTGCAGGTTTGACCATTACAAACAACAAACGGTTGTAGTTCTGAATAACCAGTGGTTTTTTTAAGAGGCTGGTATATGAACAGATGAAACTTTTGTCATCAGGCATGCAAATTAGACAGCCAGAATTGAATAGTGACAATACCTTAAAACGAACTCATTTCATTTCATTTTTTTAAACTATTAACTTTTGTAAATCTGTGAAGTTCATACCCAAAGATAAAAACCTCGTTCCAACAGAAATCTTTGCAAAACAATAGAAACTGATTTGTCAAAAAAAAAAACCCCAACTTTTATAGCTGTTAAAAGTTTATTTACTTTTGATGAAGGTCTGCAGAGCTTTGTGAGTTAAACTGCATCACAAGGCTGTCACGTAAGTAAACTTTGTCACCCTAGCCATCAACAACTATCACCTGACCAACCACTAGGCATAACAGCAATTCCACACAATAATGCCGAAATATTATGGCTGTTTGTACTTCAGTAGGTTTCCAATGAAGGTTCTGAATGTGATTTACAGAGACTTTGAAATATTATATTAAAATGTTTAAAATATAACAAAAATACTCAATTAAAAAGAATCCATTTATTTTCTTAAATATAACCATGTAGTTAAACAAACAAACAACAAAATAACAACAACTAACAATAACTAGTACCCAAAGTCCAAATCAAATTGTTAGATATGACAATTTTTAGAACATGGGGCTATGTGTCAATATCGCGTCTTTCTGAGAAAGTTGGAAGGGAAGAAAGTCTGAGGTCAAGTCTACACTTAGGGTGCTTTACTAATAGCATTTATATCACTATCCCAATTTTCATAATGCAATCACATCAAAACACATGCAGAGCTGTCTGTCACTGAAAGCAAAATGCACTTAACAGAAAGAATTTTTATTAGCAAATGTCGTCCTATATTGGTATATGCTTCCTTGTATCCTTGGTTTATACTTTTTAACTGCCTTTATTAGATAGTAATACTCCTGTGGGAATATGATGCCAAGCTGCCGTAATTCAATTTAAGCACATTCTCTTTTATCCATTTAAAATTCCAACAGGTCATGCTTTTCATCCTGTAATCTGCTGTTTCTTACATCAGTCTTTAAATTCTCAGGCATTGCTTTCTAAGTCAACGAGCTTAATAGATGAGAGGAATTTTTTTACATTTTTTACAACTGAGTAAAGGCCTTTTATCATTTCAGGCTTCCAACAACTAGCAGTGTAACAGAAAATAAGAAAACTGGCAAGCAGATAATTCAGACAGTGAATGAAAACGAACAGACATGATAGAGGAACTTAAACAAATGCCTGTAACGAAGCAACATTTCTGGGTCTGTACAGTAAATCAGGTTTCGGAACAGACATGCAACCTAAGCTTAGGAAACATGACAGAATTTTGTATGCAAGAGGCCCTATTTTCATAATTGCATACTGAGATATCTCCAGTCATCACCACAGATGCACTGAAGTGAGAACTAATTCAACAGCAGAGCAATAGGCAAGGATCATATTTCAAAACTTGGCACACTCAGATCACCCTTGGTTTTTTGCTTCCGCTTTGGTGCGGACATACAGAGATTGTGGCGATGTGCCATCTGGAATGGCCAGCAGAAGCCGGGTCCAGCAGAGTGAGATTATACCTCTGGGCAGCAGAAGGGAAACCACAGGATAGAAAGAAAGGGGACTACTCGGACTGTTTTGCTGATGAAAACATACTTCCACCACGAGGCTCCACCTTCATCCTGATGCAAGACTGGAGTATTTCTCCAAAGTATGTATGCATTGACTTATCACTAGCAGATGTTTCACCAACATTAATTCAGTGCTTTTAGGGAAGCCACACGGTGCTTACATCTTTAGGAACAAAGGTTTTGTGAGAGACTTCAGGAAGAGAGAGTCTCCTAACCAGTACATTTCTCATATGAGTAGCTGCTATCACAACCGTGATTCCACATCTATCATATGTTCCCCTAGTTCATGAAGAGCTACTAAAGGCATTCATTCAGCAGCTGGGAAATACCAGCTGAAATCCTCAATGTGCTTCATGATAATAGCAGGCAGCCAAGTACTCCTATCACCTATGTTCAAAGGCATGTTTCTAAATATTCATGATAATAGCAGGCAGCCAAGTACCCCTTTCACCTATGTTTAAAGGTATGTTCTAAATATTCTCCCCCTTGCTTTCTAAATAATATTACTGTGGGAGGGAAATAAAATGGGGAGACAATGTACAGACTTTTAGCATTTGCTACAAGATTCTATTGAGAAGCTATATCCAAAGAAAACGTAGGTGATATCTCAGACAGAGTATCATAAGTCAGGCACCATGATTTTTCATTTGTGCTGTTTTGTAAATAAACTATGTTAACAGTTAATTTAAAATTCATATGCAATGCAAATACATCTCATGAAAATGGCAATGATAACAGTTTTGTTCGGCAATTCACAATATTCTCAAAATAAAAGCTTTATTGAGCAATGAGAACAGTCAAACTCAGGACATTTAGCAACACACAAACAAAAACAGGGCAGTATGTTCCTTGCTCCTACACATATCAACACAAACACGTACTAACATTTCTAATTTTCCCCTTGCAGTTGATGGAGAAGATACCATGCCATGTTCTGATGGCCTGCAGGTAGGCAGGAAGAATAGAAGGAATTTGGTGTCCAAAGACCTGGAGAGATTCCAAAATCTCTTTAGTGTGAATTGTTGAATGTTTAATGCCTTACAAAAATGGAAATTATAAGCACGCTATCATGTTGTGGTTCCATATGCACCTCTTTTCACTCCTACTTTCACACTTGATACTTATTTCTTTCCTTCTACCCTCTTTGCATTGGGGGCTTCAATTCTCTCCAGAGCTCTGAGTTCAGAAAATGTGTCTTCCATCATCGCCATTTTCCCTCTTGTGAACAGGATCAGTCTCTCTGATCAAATGTGGGCAAGCTGCCTAGGATACTCTAATCAAGGCAAATAAACAATAAGACAGCTGTTAACTTTAAGAGTTTTGTAGAAAGGAAAATTAATAGAAAGGTATTGGGAGGAGATTCTTGAACATATCCATAACATCACTTACTTCACACTAGCTTCCAACAGGATGAACTGCTTTCCAAAGCCTGCAGTTATAGAAGATGCAGTGAGTGGACTGTCAGTATTCTTGGGCCAAAAATATAGAAATGGTGCAAGAAACATTATTAAACATATTACAAGTGGCACTGGAAGATACACTGTTCATGATTGCGTTAAAGAATTAAAGAAGACAACTGCTTAAAAAAATTCCTGCTTGAACATTTTAATGAAGATTGTGCTAAAGGTAGAGAACAAATTAACAAAGAAACACAAATTTCAATCCCAAATTCCAAAACTGGAGAAGGAAATGTTTCTCCGACTAGCTCAGCAGGCCAACTCTATCACTGGTCCTTTCTGTTCCAACACACAGCCACAGTAGGTAAATAAAATTTTGGATTCTAACTCCTAACCTAGAAAGCCGAAGAACAGTGTGTTTGATATTTACTTTAGACTTTTCTTTCTAAAAGTCATATGGGGATATTGATGCTGGATTAGATAAAAGAAGTATTTGAAATTTTCTGAATATTTTGTTTGAATGCTAAATATTAGATCCTGTACATTTTCTTCATTTGCATTCAGTCAAGATTCAGTGCTAGATGTAGCTGTCTCTCCTGCTCAAAACCAGCTTTAAGGAATGTTTTGTATCGATTTGGGTGATTTTTTTTACTTACGATTGTTGAGACATGTTAGTGTAAAACTGATATATTTCTATTAGATTTGAATCTACTTTATATTCCCACTGTCCCCTACATACATAGGTCCCACTAACTCTTCCAGGGGGTGGGGAAAAAAAAAAAAAAAAAAAAGGATTTTGTGACCTGTAAATAAAGACTGAAAATAAAATGAAGCATGCATTAGCACACACCTGCTTGAGATACTTTTCCTTCCTCAGCGATGTTTGTCATTTATCTCTTCCAGGTCAGGTTCAGCTGGATTTCAAGAAGCTCTTGGTTTCCCTCAAGGTCTGTACCCTTCTCAGTAAATTCATTAACAGCATGCACTTCTGGAGCTTTTATTCCAGGTGTTACTGCAGTTCAGTGTCATTCACCAAGGGCTGTAATTCCACTGTTATCCAACTCCATCTAACAGCAGAAATGCGAGGTCCACACAGGCATGCACAGGTGTGAAGAACAAATGAGGGACAAAGGTTTTCTGTTTCCCTTCTTCACTTTTTTGTACGACTCTTGCAGTTTCTCTACCTTTGCTCGTCGTTGATCAGTAGTTTACCCTCACTCTCGCCTCGACTTTACAATGCCCAAACAACCTTTTGGTACCAAAGAAATTTTGTACTTTTCCTTCTACAGCTCTTTCTCGTCAAAAGCCTTGAGAAAATAAAGATCTGATTATCTAGAAGCTTCCCTGGTGACAAATCTGCACACTAAAACAGCAAAGGCCAGCTACAGAGACATTCCTGAAACATGCTGCATAAATTAAAATAAAAGGGAAAAGGGGCGATAGTAAAGAAACAGTGCTGCATGCAAACCTATGCAAGTTGACTTCTTCAAAAGCTTTATATAAATGGCCACTATTACAGTGACATGGGAATTAGGGGATTGTTGCTGATTAGGGTAACACTGCTTGGCACAGACACATGCCAGGGGAACTCAAGCAGGCAATTTAAATTTACTAGTCTAAACCGAGAATTATACTAGTGTTATTTCAAACTGAGTGTGGGTATACAAAAGGATATATAAAAAAAACTTTCAAAAGGAAAATTTCACAGTGCCCCAGGTTACATTCTGATGAATTTTATGCAACAGGCAATTTAATAGAACTGGTTCAATCCAAGAAAAAGTGTCATGTTTTGTTCAAAATAAACTATTCATGGATAATTCATCTTCTATGAAGTTAGGCTTGAAAAATTAATTGTATAATTTCACCTCAAGACGTTCTGCAGTTCGTGAAATCTATACTCTTTTTTTTGTCATGCCTGGAACAGTTCATTCTAAAAATCCAGCATGTTCAACTTTGCTTACGGACATAGCAAGAAACCCTCAGGAAATTATTTAATGAGCAATGACCAATTGGGCATTGATGAGGAATAAACACATTCCAATAAAAAAGTCCTGAAAATATGCATATAAATTTCATAACAACAGTCTTATTGTCTATCAACAGTTGATTGTCAATACAATTGACACACATGCTCAGCAGAATACTCCCTTCCACATAAAATAAATTGAACAAATTCTTCAATGAGTATTGTTTCCATCATTTTAAAGAAATCAAAATAAACATTAATACTGCTCACTGTATTGCACCTGAGCGTCTTTCAATGCTTTTGCAATTTATTTCCAATTTTAGTAGGATTTTCTGAAGTTTCTTGAGTTGCTCTTTCATTTGTTATTTTCAGTTGACAGTTAACAGTAATTCAAACTTTCATTTCAGAGATACAATTTTAGCTATTGTTTCAGGCAGGTTCCTAGTGAACTTGTTGACTGTGTTCAACAGGTACTGTTTACTTCCATGATGCAAACCTCTACATTTAAGATTGACTACAAAACACTGTCAGATTCACAAAAACATTCAAGCTGAACAAAGTCACATTTACTTTAAGCCCTGTGTGAAACATTCAGTTATTAGAGATTCCCTCATGAGAGTTCTTGGGCACGTCTTGCGAAAACCTTCAGTGACCTCACACTAACTTCAAAGGCAACCAATAGCTCCCACAGAACAGTCCTCACTCCTCTCCACAACCTCATTTGATATATTACCTCAGGATTCAAACAAGAATCATAACTTTCCAAGCTCTCCAAATATATAACCTTTTATCATACCATCCATTTCCAATACTGACCTGTAACAATAGCGGTATGTTCATCTCCACATGATATAAGTACAGGCTTGTCATTTTTGAACCAGAACTTGCTAGGAATATCTTCAGCAAATTTGCTTTTTCCAAATGTGAAAACAGCACCTGATTCTAAAACACAAAGAGATAATGTCAATTTTAGTGAAAACAAATTTTCCTTCATACATTTTGAAATCGTCATCTCCTATTAATTCAATTGCACATTTTAGTTTCCTGACTTTTTCTTTTTTAAAAAAAATGGCTGAAGTGTTTTCTTCTATTCTGTTTCACCAAGATTACTTCATTTTCAGGCTCACATTTCAGTCCTCCTGATTCTTCTAAGCCTTCGTGAATTTCCTAATACAGTAGGTATTGTTGCTGGTATATTGTGTTCTGAAGATATAATAATTTATTTTAAAGTACACTAATGTACTTTATTGCTACCCCCTGGGAAAAACTATTAGGTGAGTAAAAGAAAGAATAAAGAACTCTGAATAACTGCCCCCAGAAAGCAAAATAAAAAGCTCATCCTGAAAGCAGGTCAGACAGAGAGCTCTCACTTACATTTACACTTGAATTCAAACAGGTTTTCCAAATTGGATTAGAGACAGAGACACACAGACTGTAAAGAGCTAACAGGCTCCAAACTGACCACTCTTCCTCACCCATCTGAAAAGATACATGTGCTCTAAAAATGACCCCCTAAAATCAAAACTCTCAGCCTTCAAAACACAGTTTGGCCCAACTGTCTTTAATCATACCACCATGATCTAAAAAACCCAAACAAAACCACCCCAAAATAAAGTCCAGACAGCTCTTCCGCCCTTATAATCTGACTAGTTTTCCTCAACTCTTCCTACTTTTAAGAGTGGCAACAACTTTGTTTAAAAACACAGAATGTTAACTACTCATTCACCTTTTGGTTAAGCATGTGGCTCAACACAGAAAATATTAATTTTACAGGAAAACGAATGAACTTACAAGTTAAATAATTTGCCAAAAGCCATGCAGACAATGCGCAAAGCACAATTAGACCTCCTCTTTTAAAATGTGAAACCTTCCATTTTTTTTGAGAAGAAAACAAAAAAAAATCCAAACCTTTTCCATGCAGACTTTTTGTTAACATATAAGCCATGATAACACAAAGACACACAATGTATTTGACACTACATTGCTTCTGCAAAATTACATACAATTTGTCAGTAACATCAAAACATCTCTATGTATTTACTTTAAATTAAAAGTCTTATCAATGGTCTGTACCGCAGCTCCAAAACCCAAAGTTCTCTCTTAAACTGTAAATTTTATATTCATTTAGAAATGATTCTTTAATGCAAAAGTTTCCCGTATTTGCAAATAACATGTTGTTTTATGCGTCAGGTTCAGCTGACATGTATAAAATTGTATTTATTACCTCTCTAGATGCATTTTATTTTCACTGTTTTACCAAAAACAAGCCTTGTACAGACAAATTCAAGACTTCTAAAGAAAGGGTTGAGTTTTTCCTCCTTTCATGTAGGCAAACCTACAACCTTATACATGCTAAAAGGCATCCGAAAACTCTATTTTAAGTTTTAATCTCCAGCTAACACAGTCATGCTACCTACTTGAACACGATTACAGTGATCTCTTTGGCACTCGTGCTTAAGTGGAGCTCTCTGGTCCACTTAACTTTTCTTTCAGAAGTGTTAACGTGAACATATATATATGTATATATTCTTAATTCAGTGTATGGAAAAAGCAGGCGATTTAATTCACAAACGTCCTTTGTAACACCTCATTCATTTCCCAACCGAAACCTAAGCCGTCAGTTGGGAAATTAAATCCCACCAATTCATAAAATTAAAACCCCACTAATTCATAAATGAGGTTTTTGCTTTCTCGGCACCGAGCGAATGTCTAAAAACTACCGCAGCTCACACCACGGACCAAAACTCATTAATTAGCTGAAAAAAAAACCCCAAACATCCAAGCCTTGTCTGTTTAACACCGCACCACCGCACCGTGCCGGTGACGACAGCACGGTTGCCCTCGCTAATCTCTGACGTCAGCGCACGTATTTCTCCCCAGACGCCGGAAGACAGCGGTCCCGCAGCCCGGCGCCGTGCCCCGGGGCACCGGCACTCGCCGGCCGGCGGAAGCCCGGGGCGGCCGCGAAGCGCAAAGCG